ATAAACTAATGTTTATTGGTTGGATGGACTGTTTAGGGGATGAATGCATGATTTGATTCATGAATCATGACTTTTGGGAAAGATTGAAAAAGAGTATTAAAATCATGATGATGTTTGTCAAAGTCTGTACCAAACAAACACACTTTCTTACATCTGGAAAACAAGATTTGGGCATCTCTTCACCACTGCAGTATTTCATTATAGTTCTGTTTATGACACATTTTACCTTTATCAAGCAATTGCAACTTCTGCAATTTGCATATTGCACTCAGCCATATTGCAATTTCAATAGTATTTTGATGAATTGTGCAGTAAGTTCCCAGCCAAAGTCAGTGTGTTTCTTGTTTCTTGTATATTCACAGCTTCTGTCCCATTTGCATGATATGTCTGAGTTGTTTAGGTTGTTTATTAGTAGTGGTGATTTGTTGTGGACGTTATTAGCTGGTCTGACAATGCATTAGCTGCATTGGATTGCTTGTTATATGGTAAATGGTTGCCTGGCTTGTTGACTGTTTTAACAATAAAAAGTGGGACACTGCTGGAAAGAGCAGGGTGATGAGAAGCAGGACTAGGAAACAAACGGAAATCCAAATACTTTAGGCAAGGCAAGTTTATTTGTATAGCACATTTCAGCAACAAGACAATTCAAAGTGCTTCAACATAAAAGGCATCAAGATAAAGTGTCAAAGCAACAGAAGGCTGTAAAAGTTCATTCTTGAAGAGAAGAGGAAAAACGAGAATAGGGAAGAGATGACAATAGAATTAAAATTTTTCCTCACCCAGAGGCCTTTTTACTTCCCAGTCTGCACTGAATGGAAAATAAACAGAGGAATATTCCACACCTCTTTGTTTCTCCTTTGCCCTCTTGTGTTTCATCTCTACCTTGATCTTTCCATCTTCCAGTTTGGAAAGAAGGTAGGAAAAGAAGGGGGAGGGACTTAATCCCTTGCTTTCACAAAGTCACATGGCTTTAAAGGTTGTTTTTTACATTGACTTTCTTTAATTGGCTAGCACACTGTGCAGATCAGGAAAGATGGGAAGGAGACTGAACCGTTTTCATCTGCCAGCCTTTCACTTGCTTCCTTCCTCATTTTGGCAACCGAATATGCTACTTAGAACGGAATCAAACTCCAAATGATGGTTGGTTACCTGCCAAAACTGAGTCCAGTAGACAAGCCTACCAGCCGCACCTATAAGTTGCCAGAGTTTGGCTGGTCGCTGGTGGTAATTTCCCACCCTGCAGCCATGTATTCCAGATGTTGTGGATTTGAATCCAACTTGTGACCTTGTTGCATGTCATCCCCTCTCTCTCTGCTGACTTTTTCCTTTCATCGGTTTCTTCTCATTCTTTCCGCACTCACTGCACCACTCAACAAACAGAAGTACTGTATTTATCTGAATGTGATGAATGCACGGCCTGCTACATGTTCATGCATTTTAAATTGGGACAGAGGATGTCCGAAAGCATAGAGTTTGTGAACGGGATGGTTGTTGGTTAAAATTTCCCAAACTACTATGTGGTGCTTTTGAGATCTCATTGAACAAGGCACCTCTCCAGAAACAGTTTATTGTCCAACAGCACAATTACTCTGAAATGTGTCTATTGCTCTTTGGGAGCTTTTGTTGATTAGAAATTATTTTATTTTATTATTAATTTTTTGCAAGCAAGAAGTTTCCAGTTAACTTTAAACTCCCAATAGCTGACAGGAACTAGATGTATTTTGCTGATCTTTGGATTTTTCTGAAGTGATTGTGACATAAAAGTTAAAGAAAGATGCTTTGTCAACTGGGGCGGGAAGAGTAAAGGTTGGACAAGGTTTTGTTTTTTAAATCAGATGATTATGAGTAGTTTTAGCCTGAATAACCTAACTAACGTTTTTAACTTGCTTGAGTGTGTAAAAGTCAAAGCAATAGTTGCAAGTAAACATGCTGGTGCTATCTCCTTCCCTTATTATTATATCCAACATGTAAGCAGTTTCTACAAAAGCAATAATTCATGTGCTTTCCTTTTTAAGCCTGTGGTGTCACATAACTTACATCAGCTTCATTAGACTTCCATAAGTGTCTTTACATTCACACTAATGATCTTAACCTGATTAATTCTTCTGTATAGTGCTGACAACTGAAATTATATCATCCTTTCTGCGGCTGCCTTCATCCAATTATCATATTTGTGGTTATGCGATAATGAGTGTAAGGGGACCCAAGATAGCACAAATTTTTTTTATTTTGTCTTTTACATATTTTGTGTGTCAAAGGTCAACAGACACAAAGGAGAAGAAGAGATGACTACTCCTTGGAGTGTCGTTTAAGCATTTGTTTGTTTGAGATTTATGTCAGTCTGGAAACTTGAATGAATCCCCCCCACCCCCTTTGTTGTAGCTGTACTGTCAATAACCAGACCTGATCAGTTTCATGTCAGCTCCTTTGAGTCATGGAATCATTCACTGGACTCAGCATAACAGGATTATGGGTAAAACATGCAAAGGGGCTGCATTGTAGATTAAGTGTGATCATGTTGTTAGAAAAAGTCCAATAAAAAGGAACCCAGAGCAGCTTCATTTTTCCTCTTTGGAAAAGCTCAGTTCAGACAGATGGAAACACACACAAGTCAGCCTCGCCATCTGTGTGTGTGTGTGTGTTGACAGACATGAAACAGAAAAACAGTGTCATAGTTTTTCCCTGCCTTCGTCCTGGCAGACCAGAGCAAGAGGATGACTTGGAAAAAATCTGATCTCAAAACAGCCATCCTACTGTGTGTGTGTGTGTGTGTGTGTGTGTGTGTGTGTGGCACATGTGACTGTGTGCGAGCGGTGTCCTTCTGGTGCCGCCGGCGGGTGTCGGTTTTCTGATGGTGTGTCCGAGTGCCCGATTAGCGCCGGCCGTTGGTGCGAGTGAGTGGCTGTCGGTGTGAGTCGTGGTGTGTTTGTGGACGCCTTGTGTGCGCGCAGCATCCACTTCCCGTCACTGGGTGTGTCTGCGTGTGTGTGTGTGTTTCCGCTCTCTGGCCAGCGATTTGTGTGAGACGCGTGTGGCAGAAGAGACAACAAAGGTCGAGGGACTGAATGTGAAGGAGATTTCCTGTTTTTTGTAAAAAAATGAAGAGTTTCTGTCGGCTTTCACTTGTTTCTCCCGTCGTCTGCGTTTTAATCGGTCATCCCTCCCTTGTCTCGTCGTCTTGCTCTCTCCGCCTTCTCTTTTCTCTATCCGTCCTCCTCCCCCTCTCCCCATTGTCTTGCTCTCTTTCTTGTCTCCTTTCTGTCACCATCTCTTCTTTCTTTCTATATCCTTTATCACTCTCTCTCTCCCACTCTCCCCATGCTCTCTCTTGGCTCACGTCTTCCTTCCGCCTCCGTCCCGTCCATTCTGTTAGCCTCTCCACTTTATTTGCTCCCTTCTTCTCCGCGCCCCTTCTTGCCTCTTCCTCTCCTACCGAATCCTCCGTCCACATCTGGCCTTAACTACTCTCATCTCTCCAG